CGATTGCAAACTCGCTTTGGTTTACTTGCAAAGCAACTTAAGTAGCTTGTTTAACAACCTTACGTTTACGATTACAATAATATTACCAGTATTTCCGATTAACCTTTGGATGATGCTTCATTGACACTCACCAGTTAACCCTAACCTTTGCTTACTCACTAAAGTAAATTACCTTAATCAGGATCAGCTTTGAGCAAAACTCGCTATTGATTTTTGTAATTAATATAAATAATGATGATTCTGATTGTTCGTCAATATTAGTGGAAAGCACCCTAGTACTAGGACTAGTTAAACAATTCGTTTTTGTTGTTGATGATAATATTGATGTGAATTATTAATAGAGGAACATATGTTTGAACCTCGAAATTTCAGCACAATATGATGATACGTTATTAGCAAATTAATCAATCATTGTAGAATTTGTGGTTTTAATAAATCTACCGTATAACAATTCAAAGAGAAACGCTTTAATATTTAATTTAAATTTCATATTGTGAAAAAAATTAAAAATGCAAACACACATATATAATGTTCCAGGAGATATTTATCCTCCATTGTCAACCTTACAACAAACTGAGAATATAAAATACCTACTGAATATAAAGTAAAAACCACACCGGAAAGAGTAAAAAAAGAAATTACATGATTTCATCTATTGACTTATAAAATTCAATGGATTGATAAAAATGTTTACCAAGAAAAAGAACTACAATCAAACAAATCTCCATCTGAAGCATAATATCATGTCAACCAAAAGACTCTATTATGAAGCAAATTCTGAAGGATAACATTTCACTAAAAAATCGTATTCACTCAATATTAAATTATTTGTAGAAAATTGAAAATAAATGCATTATAATAATCAAGAATCAAATAGCAAGAATTCCTTTATATATAATATAACATTCTTGATCTAAACGAAACCCAATTTTTAATTGTCCATCTGATGTTTCATGCCATTTTGCATCTTTAATATTTTCTTGAAACCATTCTACAGTCATCTCTAGCGGTACTATTGTAACATGAGATTCACTATTAGTACATGGAAATTTGATAAGTTGTTACCTGGTTTGGTATATAATAGGGAGGAATTCGTTTTATGTATCTCATTCACTAGTAATTTGTTAAACTGTTCAATATGTTGCATAGGCAAAGAAATTACATTGGCAGTAAGTTAATTGTAAGATGCATGAGTTTTTATGACGAATAAAACCTCTAGATTTTTTGTATCGTTTTTTTGTTACAAATACTACACAGATATTGACGTTGAATTAGAGAATGTGGTTGTCTTGCCATTATAGATCGTTTTAAACGCTTGACTTAATAAAATTATGTTTTTTTACGTTAGTTATGTTTTATATAGTGACTATAAGCGCTTATTTACTGTTGTAACCTTATAAATACATTATACATATTAGCAAAACCTCATTGGTTTTGAGGTGGGCCCATTGACTTGACAGGCTGCTGAATATTAAAATAGTTTTTTGACGAAGTAAATAAACTTTTTAGGGTTAATTATCATTCTACTGATCAGTTACACAATAAGATATATATATGATATTAATTAATATAGAGGTTTGAAAAAAAAAGGACCAAAAACCAAATCTGCCGGTGTGAGTTACTCTTTGATAAATACTTTTGTTGTTATTGTTTGTCATTATTAGTAGAAGAAGTTGTCCTTTGAACTGGGTAAATACTTTGCCGTTGTTGTTGTTCGTCATTATTATTTTTCGAACCGGATGAACTCTTCATCGTTATTAGTAGAAACTATTTTGTTTTCTTTGTTTTTCTTTTTTGAAATTTTTATATATTTAAAAAAATCGTTTTCAAATTTGGAAGTAAAACAACAGATCACCAATAAAACATTTTGATCGTGTAACGATGACTGCCCTACTGAATCGTTCTTATCGCTCCTCGCCTGGTTTATTTATGCTACAACACCCTCAGTGTATGCATTTTTTTGCCGAATGGACCGTATGGCACTTTTTCCCACCCTCTATACCCACAGTTCTTCCAGACATCTCAACCAAGAGGTCGAGTTTGTGTTTAGGCTTATAGTAGGTTCTCTTCCAAAACTGTTGAGAGTTTAGGGTCACGGCATTGTTTTACACTATATTATGTAAGTTTTACGTCAATTAATTTTTCTTTTTCCTTTTTGCATGTTGTTATTAATTTATAACGGAAATTTGATTTTTTATAAAAAATCTCATATAAAACAACTGTATCAAGACACCAAAACTGAACTTTTAAAGATATGATAACCCATCACCAAAATGTGATTGAATTGTAAAGACATTTTACTGATTGCATAATTAAATTAATGGTCTAATACTGCCACGACTTCTGTTATTGCTACAAATCTAGTACTGCTACAAGCGACGACGAAATATATGAGCTTTTTTTCATCTGAAACATTAGTCCTTAAAGAAAAACTCGATATGTTCATCATGTAATTTTACGATATTTTTAATATTTGTATTAATTGATTCGGTTGGTTTGATTGGATAAAAAGGATGTATATGATGGTCTCTTAATAAGAATATCAACTGATGAAGACGAAGAATTATTTTTATGGATTTTGACCATGTACGATCTGAAAAAAAGGCGATTATTCGTAAAAATTTCTAATATCGCCAACCATTTATTCTCTATTTTCAACATGTTTTTACTGAAATTTATTCTTGTTAGACCGTTCTGACGGGTGATTCATTGACGTTGGGCGTTTGAGCAGGTAAGAGTCCTTATCAGACGATCACACACAAACAAACACACAATGACACTAACATTTTAAATTAAAACAAGTATTCCATTATCCGATATCAAGATTATTAAACCATTTCTTGATAACATCAAAGATCCAACTAGATCTGGCTTAATTATTATTAGTAGGCATCACCCATCTATCGTCTATCGTTTATCATCTTTTAACATTGCTAAATTTAACATTTCGTCATTGCAAGCGGCGAAATGCTAAATAGTTGTTTTGTGCACAAAAAAAATCCGCCCTTTATTGTCACTGAACAGGTAAAACATGGTGATGCAAGTACAATATCGCATTATTGGCTGAATGGAACCAATCCAGCCCAAAATCATACAATAAAACAAAAACAAATCATTAAGGTTATCATTGAAAAATGTTGGCGAGGAAAAAAACAAAACGGAGATAGATAGGACTTTGTATAAGGATTTTTAAGTTCTAACATTTTAATTATGTTGTGTAATTGGGGGCAACTGTTTTTGTAACACTGTTTTTTTTTTGTTTTTTAAGAAAAAAAAATTTAACGCTGCTGCCCGGACTCAAACAAGAAAATTGATTCGAATAAATTAGTAAAACTTTTAAGAGATCAACATAACGCATTGTTAATAGATAGGGAGAGAGAGACAAGGGGCAGTTGGTGAATATGAAAAAGTCTGACTGATATCTTTGTATCTGTCCTTCCACATTGGAAACACTGTGTAAATAATATTTAACTAGAACGAAAATTTTTGTTGGGAATATAAGACCAAAAATCCCCAAATCGTAGAATTAAAGCCAACGCTATAATTAAAAAGTACTTTAAAAAGATGGCTAACCGCCTCATCATTAGATTTCACTAATAGAAAAGGAAAAAGTCATCGCTTCATCAACAAGTGAATTTTTTAAAATCCCTCGAATGGCGACTTTTTTGTTCATTTCTTATCATTTATTTCATATAAAATTTAATATTAATTCAATGTTTATTATTTATATCAATATGTCGTATAACGATTTCGCCCAAACATCTCCTGATTTGCGAGTTAACGCACAATGGGTCCGGTATTACCACGCATATGCATAATAATAACATTTTTGGTAACGTCCCCCCAATAAGCTTTCTCCAACCAATCAATTATCCCTTGAATCGTTAATGTGACCAGCTGCTTGATAATTTGGCGGTAGAGTTTTCCCGATCCTGTTAAAGTTAAGGTTAAGACAAAGTTATTGTTGAACGACTTGTCAAAAAAAAATTTTATTATGCAATTATTGTTAATAATATTGCAGGTCTATTGTGTCACGTGATCTCTAACAACGCCCAAAATTTTTTTGAAGCCCCATGTATTAATTAAAAATCTTCATTGGATCGTTTATCATTAAATCCTGTGTCAGATTCTTCCACAAAATAATTCCAATTTATTATTTTAATGTATTGGTGGCAGCTATATGTAGAATCATTGGACATGAATTCTTCCTGTATGTATGTTTACACAATATTTTTTTTTTAAGTATTTTAAGTATTAGTATTTATTAGTAATTAAAAAAAGAGGAAGGGGAAATCTCCGCTGATCTTGTGTTAAATTAGAATAAAAATGCATGTATATATGGTTTTCAAGTAAAGTTGGTTGTTCTTTTATTAGCTATTTATTGTTTGGTCTAGTGTAAAAAAAAATTTTTTTTATTGTGAAAAGATTTCCAAAAAAAAAAAAGACCTGGAGAATTTTAGTCAATGGAAATATCTGTGCATATCAAAAATCACATGGAAATTACCAAAATTTAATTTTTTTTTATTAAATTAAATAATAACTAACTACATGCAAAAATGAGATGAAAAGAACATAATAATAATTTATTTATTTTTTATTGAAGGTAATAATAAAAAAATGCAAAAATATTTAAAAGAAGAGAGAAAGAAAATGAGAAAGTGAAGGAAAGAAAAATAATAAGATAGATTTTGAGGTATTTACAAACTAATTAATTAATTAATTTTTAAAAAAAACGGATTTATATATTTACACCATTTTTTTCATCACTCTCTCTATCACCTCCTATATGATCTAATAATAATAAAATTTGTTTTTAAAAAAATGTGAATTAATGAATTAATGTGAAAATTTGAAGAAAAAATGTTTTGTAAATTGTAAAAAATCCAATAAAAAAATTTAAATGTAAAAAAATATACATTTTATTATTAGTTATTATTTTAATAATATAAAATTCATTTAATTTATTTTTTTTAAAAAAAAAAATAATAATAATAATTTCCCTAACAATCATTATTTTCATTTTCAACGCTATTATTATTATTATCATTCAGACCACTCATACTGATATTATTACCATTATTACTGCTACTAGTAGCATTGTTATTGTTATTAATATCTTGTTGATCAGGCTCTAACATTTGTTTCAAAATCCCGCATCGTCTTTCCAATACAGTAAGAAAAGCTTCAGCTTGTTTTTTAGGCATTTTATCAACCAAAGCTCTAAATCTAGAGTCATCAAAATCAAATTGTGGAGCAGCAAAAGGATAAGCTTGTTGATGATGAAGAGAAGTGGCTGGGACCATTGTTATTGGAGAGGTAACATTAGTTAAAGATGCATTAGGATTAGTCGCCGAAAGTGGAGATATAGCAGGATTGATCATCATAGGCATTAATGGACGTTGATGAACAGCAGCGGCTGCAGATAAGTAGGTTTGGATGGTGAGAGCGTGATGATGTTGTTGTTGATGAGGAGAGATTGGACTTTGTGGATTTGAGTCGCAAGAACCGTCAGAACCTGAACCGTCAAGACTACTACTACTATTGACACCACCGCCACTTCCTCCGTTAGGATTTCCGTTATTGGCACCCCAGTCTCTTCTACGACGTTGAATCTTTGCCTTTCTCATGGCAACAGGACGATCTCTATTATGTAATTTAGCATATAAACCACAAGCATTACAAATAGGTTGACCTTTTTCATTCTTTCTCCATAAAGGAGTTTGAGTTTGAGCACAATTAACACACCTAATTGGAGCTTCATTATTGTTGTTGCTATGATTTACCATGGTTGCGGTAGGAACAATGGTTTGAGGTTGTATAAGTTGATGATGGTGATGATGATGATGAGCAGCAACGATCGATTGACGATGAATTTCTTGTTGTATTTGTTGTTGTTGTAATTGTTGATGATGTTGCTGCTGTAACTGTTGTTGTTGCAATTGTTGATGTTGTTGTTGCAGTGATTTTTGTTGTTGTTCTTGCTGGGATTGGGAAGATGATGAAGTGTTGGTAGTGGTGTTGGAAGAAGTTATTGGTTGTTGAAGAATAGGAATTTCATTAGATGTTGTTGTCGTTACACCACCATTAACAGTATTTTTTCTTGACGATGAAGTTGAGGATGAAGCAGAAGATGATGTAGATGTCGATGTAGTAGAAGTAGCGGTGCTTGTGGGAATAGTGTAAGGATTACCAGTAGCAGTATGAGGCTTATTCCTAATATGTAATGGGCGATGAGTATTATATTGTTTATAATATAAACCGCAAGCGTTACATAAAGAGTGCATCCTGTCAGGAGTACGACGCCAAAGAGGAGTCTTTGTGACACCACAATTCGAACAAACTAGATTACGAGGTGGTTTTGAACTTGTGTGTTTTTTGATGGAAGTAGATGATGATGATGACGATGATGACGATGATGATGATTTTGATTTATTTTGAGATGATGATGGAGTAGGTAATTGTTGTGATGTATTTATCATTGAAGGAGAAACAACATTATTGTTGTTAGTAGTGGAATTAGATTGTTGATTAGGGGATGAAGGAGCTGTTGAAGGAGGACTTGTTTGAGAAGAAGATATTGTTTCAACAATAGAAGAATCTGATTCCATACGAGTTCCATCATCTTTATAATAAAAATTTTGTTTAAAAAAAAAAAAACAACAACTAATAGGAAATTATTAAATAAATAAATAAAAATTAATACATACTGTTTGATTGTTGTGATAAAAGTTGATGTTGATGATCGTTATCATTTTCAGTTTTAATATAAGTATCCATAATAGGATCTTCATTTTTAATCTTAGCATTCATATTGGGAGATGAAGAAGATGAAGAAGATGTGGAAGAAACCATCGTAACCAAGGCAGCAGAAGAAGAGGAAGCATCTGTTGATATATCAGGGAAACTGGTTTCGGTCAAGAAGTCGCGTATGTCGTGTAAACCTTCCATTAGAAGTTTATCACCATAAATATCTTCGATAGGACTGTGAATGTCATCCATATTCTCACCAAAATCGTTGATATTGTTGTTAGGAGAATCTAAACCAGAAGGTGCATCGGTGGGACTGAGCATTATATCGTTCTGATATATAGCTTTTTCTAACATATAAGAGTCCACTAATTGAGGTTGTAAGGTTGGTGTGCTGTTATTTGAATCATTATTATCATTATTGCCATTATTGTTGTCATTAATATCATTATCGTTAATTGACCAATTAAATGAAGGTGTAGAAGACATGAATATATCGTTCTCAAGATCAATAGATTCTTGTAGTAATGAATTATTTATCATCGGATTATTATAATGATGTGATGTAGGATTGTAAATTGAGTCAGGAGATTGCACTTGTAAATATTTTGTATCCGGAGACGCTGTGTAAGCATAAAGATTTGGTGATGCGTAATAGAAGTCGCTATTAACATGAATCATAAGATCATTTGGTCCCATTATTATTGTTATAAAGAAATTTTTTGCAAAAAATTATTTTATTGATGATATTGATGATTGATTAATATGATTTGATTTATGTTGTTGTTGTTAAGATGATTGATTGAAAAAGTTGTATATATATATATATTGTATGATGATGATGATGATGATGATGATGATAATGATGATGATGATGATTAGAGACGATTTTAATTCGAAGAGGTTTTTGATTGATTGATTGATTGATTGAATATTTTTTTTTTTATAAAGAAAAAAAAAAAAGATTTTGATGATTGATTTAGTTAGGATTTAGTTTTTAAAAAAAGAGAAATATATAAAAATATTGAGAAAATAAGTATGTAGATCACTAATACTAATTATTAATGTTAATTAATAATAAAAATTGCAAAAATAATTTTTTTTCTGTTGTGTGTTGCAAATAATTTTTTTTAAAAAAAAATTGAAAAAAATACAAATTTAAATAAAAATAAATTAATTAAAGAATTGTTCAATCAACGTCTGTTCCAATATGTCTTCCTTCAAGAAGATAATAGTAATTCATATTGTATGTGCATATATATATATAAAAATATAAATTAATTAATTAAATAATTAAAATAATTAAATAATTATAAAATTAATTTAATCTCATGAAATTATGTGCGTGTAAAAATGTATTTTTAAAAAAACTGTTATATATTATGAAATTTAAGGAGAAAGTGAAGTGAAAAAAAGAAGTGAAATATTTTTTTTTTGTTTTGTTTCTTATAAAAATATTTTTTTTAATTATAAATAAAGTATTATATATAAACAATATTTTATTAAATATAGTATTATATTAATATGATTATTTATATTTTAATAAATACTATATTAAAAATAAAAATTTTTTCCAAAATAAAAAAAAAATAAAGAAACTTCGCGTACTTGTTTTATAAGTAAAAAGGAATCTTTAGTTATTTTATATATTTTTCTTCTACTTACTTATTTATTTATATATATATATATATTTGTTTATTAAATATTTATTGTTATTTATTATTATTATTATAAATTTTTATTATTTTTAAAAATTTTAAAAAAGCCGAAAATATATATATATATATTTTTTATATCCTGGCTAAGCAAAAAAGCGAAATGTAAATTATAAAAAAAATCGTCTCTTTAAATAATGAAATACATTTAGTAAATAACCCCATTTCTATAAATTACCCTGCTTTTACGTTACACGAAAATGATTTTTTTAATATAAATGAATAAAAAAAAAACGAGTTTTCGGATGAAATGTTGGAAAATATACGCCAAATTAGAATTGGAATGTAATATTATTATTATTATCAACTTGATAAATTATTATTATTAAAAAAAAATTTTTTTTTTTAAATAATATAAATATTGTTTTATATTTTTCCTATCGCTTCGTATATACATAGTCTCCTTCTCCACTTTATTATTTTTCTTTTTTAATAAACGCCCTTTTATAAATTATTCCTTTTTATATTTTTTGTATTACTGAGCAACACTTTACCTCTCGTGTGCATAACAGAGCGTTTGTGTTTGTATATATATGATGCAGTGTTAATGTTTTTTTAGGACTACTAACGCTAGTGCCAATGTTCTCTCTCCCCGAGGTGGAAGGGCGAAGGCTGTGGTAACAAAAATTATTTATAAATTCATTCAATTATATAAATATTCAAAAAAATTTTTTATGTAAAAAAACTCAAATAAACGAAAAATTTTACTTTGTTATTGTTTCGTTTTGTTTTTTGTTGCTTTTTGTTGTTGTTTTTACGTCAATATTTGTCGTCAATAATAATAAATAATTTTCTAGGAATAATTTTTTTTTTCTACAATATTCATATTAGTACGACAAATATCAAAAGAGGGAACATTAAACAATCGAAATTTAAAATTATGAGAAATATTACGACATAGTATCATATATCATGACATAAAAAGAAATAATGAATCATGAAGGTTGGAAATTAAAAATGTTGATTATGTCAGTGACGAACATGCTTTTTTAATTTTAATTTTATGTAGATCCGTTGTTTTTTAACCGAGAAAAAAAGGAAATTGTAATTATATAAAACGTTTATTGAATATTAAAAAAATATGAATTATTTTGTTGTAGTAATGAATATTATAATAAACATTACTGTTATTACTATTACTATTTATTACGTAAAAAAACAATGGAATTATTTTTAATTTAGGAAAATTTAATATATGTATGTTAAAGAAAAGTTCCAAGTCAACAAAAGAAATAATAATAATGGAATTAATTCTTCCACCTGTAAGTATTATTATAGTAAAATAATATAATAACTATAGTTGCTTATTTTTCTCTCTCTATCTCTCTCTATTTGACAAAAAATTATGGAGCGAAAAAACACCCCATTACTTTTTTTTTCTCAAAAAAAAAACTTTTTTCATTTACTATTACCTGCTAATGCAGTGTCCGTGTAACATCCACATGAGCCACCAAAAATAGAACCAAGAAAACAAACATTACTGTAATGTTGACTCTACTAAGCAAGATTTTCTAATTAAATATGGTAATTTTCAAAAAAAATTTTTTTCTCTACACAAATAAAATTTTAATATTATTTATACATCATACATAATAATAACCTAAAATTTAACAAAGTTTTTTTTATTCATAACAAAACGTCATCGAATGTCACCAAGAAAGGGTTTGTGCCTGTGGGGCTTCTTTTTGTTTAAGAGGGAGAAAGCAGAAGAAAATTTAATTTCATTGAATTATTTCTTAAAGGAAAGCAACGACAGTTTTTTTTTAAATTTTACAATTCTTTTTACATGGCGTGCATTATTAAAAAATATTTTTTGCCACATGTAAATTTACATGTAAAAAATAACAATAATAATAATATTGTATACAAATTCGCCTTTTACCGAATACCGACATAAATTTTATATCAAATAAAAATTTTGAAATAAAAAAATTTAATTAACTTCTCGGGAATTTTAAATTAATTTAAATTTAATTAATTAATTTAATCGAAAAATAAACCTAAATTAAGAATTTCAAAAAAAAAAAGTAAGAAAGACGAATTCACGTGTATATAATATATAATGTATACATTGTATATGCTATGTATTATTTTGTATGAACATAATAACTGGTTATTTTTTAATGCGCATTTTTTTGTTGAATTTTCAAATTTTTTGAAGCTTCCAAAATTTTCACCAGCATAATTCCCAAACAACATTAATCCCAGTTTACTTCGTACACATTTTCGATACCCAATTCCTTTTGTTCGATATAAAAATAATAATAATTATATAGCAAAACAAGTACATTTTATTTACTGTTTACTTACTATTATAGCTGTTACCACTACTATATTTACCATTATTTACTATTTACGTTACAGTTGACATACGATATTTTAATTTAAAATAAATAAAGTTATTAGTTTCTTGATTCATTGTGTTCACTCCTCACATTAATTGTTTGATTTTTTTACCTTATCTAAAATAAAAAATAAATTCAATTAGTTTTATTTGTTTTATTTATTATTTCATTACATTAAATTACTTTTTTTAAATAATAAGCAGCAGCAAAAAAATCTTATCTATTGTATTACAAATTATTTTTTATTTATTTTCCATGCACACTGATAAGATAGAATAATAATAAGCTTTTTTTGTGTTTTTTTATCGTATGGTGAACTTTTGTCGTGTTATCATCATTTTAATTTTTATTTATTTTATTTCTCATTGCGAGAATCACCGGCAATTTTTCTGTTGGACATTTTTAGATATTGTTAAACCTGCATAAAAAATTTCCATAATAATGACAAATGTCCATAAAAATAATAAACATTATCAGATGTTGTTATTATTGTTAGCACATGTCTGTCTTCTTTTACTTTTTTTCATATTAAAAACATTAGCAACAATAATAACTATTCTTATATCACCGATTTTTCATTTCACTATTCTGCTATTTAACACGGATCCAATGAATGAATTGGATGAATGAACGAATAAATTGGGTGAATTGAATAAATTGAATAAAGGATTTGTGAATTAATCGATAATTATGGTAATTAATTACATTAATAAAATAAAATAAATACAAATATTGTTAATTTCATTTATATTAGAACGAAATTCTTTAAGTAAATAACAAATAAATAATAAATAAATAATTAGAATATCACCAGGTAATTGCTATTATTAAACATTATTAACTATTCTCAACATTCATATCATATCCATATCATACATATCATATCCATATCATATCAGATCAGATCATTTTATCTTATCTTTGACAATAATAATAATAAATAACTATTATTGTCATTTTATTTTAAACTAGTACTAAAAGAATTGATCGACAAGCCACATTAACCGATTGGATTTGGATTTGGATTTGATTTTTTAGGAAGAAAATAGTTTGCCATAAAAGAACCTTGGTTTCTCTACTAACGCTTCATTTATGCTTTATTTGGTTCGATCAAATCTTATATAGTAGTCATTAACTAATCAATTGATAGTGTATTGTTGGTGAATAAAGAGAGAAGTTGATTGATTTTCTATTTCTAATTTTATTATTTTTCACTTATTTATTATAAGTTTACTACTTATTATTGTCGCTACCACCCGTTCACTAAACAAAGTAAATTGAATATAAAATACGGAATAACTATTCCCAACGTCATTAATTACTTTCAATGTCATTCATTCACAACAATAACACAAATCATGTTACGCACGCATACTGATTTTGTCAATTATAATATATAGAATAACAAAATGTATTTTCTTCTTTGTATATTATTAGTTAATAATAATAATAATAATAATAATAATAAATAATAATAACAACAATAGTAATAATAATAGTAATAATAATAATAAAAAGCGCAGATTTCTTTTTTTTCTTTCTTCAGCGTTCACATAGTATATATCATTCAATGGTAATTTTGGTTTTTTTTTTGAATAAAATTGTTATCAAAAAAAAAAATAAAACAGTAATTAATACTTTCATTCCAACTTTTCAAATAAATATTATAACAGCCAGTTAATCCGGTTAATCCAGCTCAAGATCCTCCGGTTCCTCCAGCTAATACAGCTAATACAGCTAATACAACTAATACAGCCAATACAGCCAATACAGCCAATACAGCCAATACAGCCAATACAGCCAATACAGCCAATACAACCAATACAGCCAATACAGCTAATACAGCCAATACATCTAATACAGCCAATACAGCCAATACAGCCAATACAGCCAATACAGCCAATACAGCCAATACAGCCAATACAGCTAATACAGCCAATACAGCTAATACAGCTAATACAGCTGATCCAGTTCAAGATCCTATAGCTAATAAAGCCAATACAGCCAATACAGCCAATACAGCCAATACAGCTGATCCAGTTCAAGATCCTCCAGCTAATCCAGCTAATCCAGCCAATCCAGCCAATCCAGCCAATCCAGCTGATACAGTTCAAGATCCTATAGCCAATCCAGCTAATCCATTTCAGGGTCCTTTATATCCTGCGGCCAATCCGGCGAGACTAATACAAATTTGTCCTTATTTTGAAGCAGGTAGCAATTATTCACTTGATATGAAATTTCAAATAGAAGGGGGGTGGTTTGATGAGCCCTCACCACCACCGTCAGAAAATTGGAATGATGCCTGTAGAGGAAGAAACAGGTAGATATTGATTATAATATATACAAATTTTATTATTATTGCTAAAAGCAAACCTATTGATCTAAAAAACATGGGATGGAGTAAGAAAAAAGTAGATGACCGTTTCTACTAGGAGTAATTAATAGCTCCGATAACTATATATTATATTATCTTATATTTTTTTATTCATTATTTATTTATTTTATTATTTACAATATTTATTGGTTATTAAAGCATAATGTAAGTTGATTTTATTTTAGTAAAAATAAAATTTTGGCTTTACCCAAATCGAAATTTTTATGTTATATGCGTAATGTCGATCACAACGAACAATTTAAAGAAATTTACTTTATAACCATTGCTGTTTCATTTTCATTCTACTGCCACTGATACTACTGTATACTGCTGCTTCTACTGCTTATACTGCTAATGGTAACATCACTGTATTTTAATATGCTACTTCTATTTGATGCATTTGCACTTAAAAAGCAATATATACAATTATGCGAAGCATAATCCTGAATATCTACGCAATCTCCTCCATATATATATATATATATTATATAAATAAATAAACCATTGTATTCGAATTACTATTATATACATATATATTAAATGAATAAAATATTTAAATGAAGTTGTTAAAAAAATAAACATTGCTCTCTTTATTAATAATAAATTGGTATGTATATGAGACATACCGCAACAAAACCAGACAAAGTGAATATTAATATGAACACTTCTGCTATATCACTCACAATAATTATGATGATTTTTTATTAACCAAGATCCTTTCATGATATAATAGTTTATAAATGCAAATAAAGAGTAAATAATCTTCAGCTGGTGTAATATAATATCTAACATTGTAAATACCACCCACTATTAAATTCTATTAGCATATCTTTTTTTGATAAAAATATATTGGTTTGTTGTTGTGAAAACTAAACAATTACAATTAATTGCGACTAGTTGCAACTAATTGCGGCATATAAAAATAAATTTAATTGCGGCTAATTGCGGTTCTGTTTATTGAGCACATACATATTCCAAATTGTGTCACTATTCATTAATATATTTAATTTTATTGTAATTTTACCCAGGGTAATTATTGCATTGCATGCACATCTAAATGTTCAGCTATCATAAGAATAAACTCATCAAAAATTTTTGCTAATGGCAGATTTTATAGTAGACGGTGTGGATGACACTACAAAAATGATGAGGAGGATGACAACAGTATAGAGTATAATATAATATTAGTTATCATTCTTCTAATAAAACGAGAATATCCATAAGCTTCTCTAATAATACTTACTTATTTCTGGTTTATGATTGAATGAATTGTTTGGTTCTTGTTTGATCTTTTGATCTGTTTATTTTTGACAAAAAAAAAAAATTTTATCCCTGTCGTTATTCGATGATTGCAATTACCATTACCCATTCCTTTTTTTTTTTTAATATATAGTTCATAAATAAAAAATAATAACACTTACTCATTCATTTCGTTGGGGATTTGTAGTCTTCTTTTCGTGTTTTTGATTTACACGCAACTAATTATTATGGTGTATTTGTTGTACAACAAATGGACGCGAATTATTTTTTTTTTTGTTGACGCAATTTAAAAAATGAAAAACAATAATGTCATCATTTGGTTGATTCTAAAGAAAGGCATATGTTTATTAATATTTTTATTTCGTATCTATGTATTGATATATGCCTTTTATTTTATATAAAATATCTTATTGGAAACAAATTGCAGAGTAGAACCTGCATGTTTTGTATTTATAAGATTCTTAATAAAAAGACAATTGGTATGTTTATGCTTTTCGTAATTATTAATATTAGATAACAATACATTACCCGGACAAAAGTTTGTGAGCGATGTTTTTCGTTAATTACGCAAAATGCTACATACAAAAAATACATAAAATTTTAACATTAGATAAACCTAGGTTCTTGTTCGTTTTCATATAAATTTTGATTTTTTGTATTTCCAGTACTTTATTAATTAAAAAAAAAACGCAAGTTGATTAAATTTTAAAATGTTTATAATAAAAATATTTAAAATCATATCATATAAAAGCTATAGTTTTGGAAAATAAAACATATGATTTTCAATACTTCAACGTATCTAGGTTCGTTATTTTTTTCTAAGTCGTTGATCGAAAATTTTTTTAAAAAAACGTGCAGTGCCCAAAAAATAAATCGGAATTGAAAGTTGCAGTGAAAGAAGAATGGTTAAAAATACCTTACGAAAAGCTCGTTGAAAGCACACCAAGAAGAATCGAGGCATGTATTTCTAATGATGGGTGGTCCACTAGATTTTTTTTCAATTTTGACTTTTTGAAGATCTTTTCAAAAAAAAGTATTGGAAATACAAAAAAGAACCAAATTTTATATGAAAACGAACAAGAATCTAGGCTATTTAATGTTAAAAATTTTATGTATTTTTATTATGTAGCATTTTGCGTAATTAATGAAAACATCGTTCACAAACTTTTGTATATAATTATAAGAAGATATAGAGGTAGCATGACCAGTGTTGTGACCCGAAACAGAAACCGCCTGAAACTAGTCTAGGTTGGTAGTTTATGCTTAGGTTTAGTTTTAGTTTTAGTTTTCTGTTTAGTGCAAGTTCATTTTCCGAAACGTTTCGGGAAGCCAAAAGAGTTTCTGGTCACAACACTGAGCATGAATGACTGTTAAAGAAAAACAATTCAATATTTAACATTTGATTATGCACTATACAGTCATTCTCGTGTACATGAGGTTACCAAAATTCTCGAAAAATAGCACCAGGACCCCGCAAATTATATAGATAGGTTACATACAAAAATCACGGTTTGATATAGGATTTGTCCCACACTGTGATTGGCTTATTAAGACAATCCTTCCAAATTTGGTAATTTTCATTAACATTGCATTTTCTAATAGTAAAATTTTTAGGCCCTTTAACAAATGATTTTCAATTGTTTTAATGTAAAGGGCGTTGTCTTTTGAGACTTTACGGTAATCATCAGTAATCTGACCACACACCTCTCTGATGCTACCAATTTCCAGGGGGGAAAGGCCCTGGAATCTGTTGAGTTTTTGACAATGGCATTGTTATTAAGGACACTTTACAAATTTTAACTAATCTTCCCTTTGCAGCATCTGTGCTGGCATTACCTGGATATGCACACTAGATGACATGTTAGCTGAAAAGTTCCCTGAATGATTTTACCTCTAACCAAATTTATAATTTTGGGTAAAGGACCTGGGCTTTTGCCCAAATTGTTCCTTCCCCTAGGTAAGTGTGCACCTAACAAGCAACAATCAGGTTGCAACCTCCTAAATTGCAGAAAACCTACTTTATACTAGTAGAGATAACATAAAGTGATCATCACACAAGTGCTAACTCTCATCAGCCATCAATGCTCATATGGTAATGGTCAAGCCTGATCTGAGGGAAGATAAAGGGAAAAATTTTCCAACCTTATGAAAGCCTTCTGACATGTTTTCACCTTACTTGTGGAAAAAAATTCCACAGCTATGAGGCATGTGAAAGCGCCTGTTGACTTATTTGTAATAGGAAGTTTTTTTAAATCTGATACTTGTAATAATATCAGATTTATTATTCATGTTTTTTAAGGTACTACACAAATGGGAAGAAAAAATAGTTTTTTTGGTCTTCAATTTTTGTTGATTTTAGACAGGGGTAGACGCACAATATTTGTTTTAAAATCAGGTCCCTTAAAAAATTTCATTTTTACATGGTCTTGGTAACATTACTTTTTAGATGATGCAATTATTTGTTAATGTCAGTGACAACATCAAATGTATTTAATGAACATTGTAATAGATCTATAGTATATAAAGGCATTCATGTTCAAGGAAAGCCAATTATCATTTTTTTATAAAAGTATTATCAGATTGGCCTTCACAATTCCCTGATATCAACCTATTAAACATCTTTGGGATGAGTTGGAAGGTGGTTGAAAAAGAGAAGCAGTACCTCCTGGTGGTGAACACAGCTCTGATATGCATTTTGTTAGAATGTTCATGGAAGTCCTTTGACTCAAAACAGAATATCATTAGTAAGTCAATCATCCAAAATGACTGCATTTCATGCTGTTACTTCTATTAAGTCACAACTATATCTAATTACAGGAATATTAATGATTTACAGCTGAAATATATAAGAGGTGTTCAAAGTTGTTCTGTTACTGTTCCTTGTTGTACAATACTTTTAATTTTGAGCAGAAAATTTCCTAGTTGTTTCCATATCTATCTTTGGCACTAATCTACATAATGAAATTTTTAAATCTATTTCAAGAAGTGACTGGTTCAGATGAATTTGATGAAAGTTTTGATGATGATGAATTGAAATATTTTGAAATTAGTACAAGAGGTTGCCTTTTGAACTGGATAAATATTTTGTTGTTGCTATTTATTATTATTAGTAGAAAAAGTTTCCCTTTGAACTGGGATAAATACTTTGTTGTTTTTGTTTGTCATTATTAGTAGAAGAAGTTGTCCTTTGAACTGAATAAATATTTGTTGTTATTGTTCATTATTATTAGTATAAGAAGCTATCCTTGAACCGGGTAAGTACTTTGCTATTGTCATTATCAGTAGAAGCTACTTTTTGAATTGGATGAACACTTTGTTGTTGGAAATTTTTTTTAAAAAAATCTTACAAATTCGTTGTTCTTTCTGATCAGCTAATAAGTTTTGATTTGTAACAAGGAACACCCATAGAAATAGTAATAGTAATGCTGACTTGAAAAATTTCTAGTCGCGACTAGATATAAAATCATTGGTCGCGGCTAGTATAAATCATTAGCCATAGCTAGATATAAATCATTAGTCGCGGCTATGTCTAGTCAGCTAGCAACACTAACCACAATTACAAAAAATAAGAAGTATTCTTTATTTTGATTTGTATTTGATTAAAGCAACAAGGAAATTAATTTCACAACAAATATAAATAATTTCCTTATGAATAAAATTATTTAAAACAAAATAAAATTTAATATTTTACACGAACTTTTATTTATTAGTGTTCATTGTCAAATACACAAGATTTTTATTAATAAATAAAATCCGCGTAATAGTAACCTTGTCACAACTCTTATACGTCCCGTTTATCCGCTGTGACAAGGTTTGACTGTACGTGTAACAAATCTTTCAGGGGTGTTTTCTTGAAAAAATTTTATAATGTTTTTACTAGAAAAATCCCTATATGTAACTAATAAATTTTTTAGCAATTATTCTGGTTTGGCCATGTGCTTTCATAGGATGGCGTGATATCCAAAAATATCTTGAACATATTGTAACTCCCTATTTTTGAGATTTGAAATTTGGCCATGCGGCGCAAAAACCCTTCGATAACGCGCACTATAGGGTATTTACTAGTGAATAGTTTTAGGTATGATTTGAGTCGAAACTTGTTATTATTTTCTTTTATTCAAGAAAAGTTAACCCTCAAAAAACATCGTTTATGCATATACTTTTTAATTAGACCAAATCTACTATTTTACCTTGTCGACCTAGTACTACATAAGTAACCAATGCAAATTAAATAAGAAAAATATTAATAAAACAAATAATAAATAATAAATAATAATAAATAAATGCTATAACGTAAAATAAATAATAAATTATTGTGATATTAATAATTATCGTAAATTATTATTATTGGAACACATTTTCATTGTCATTCAAGCAAAGAATTTTTTTAATTGCTTCATTTTCGGGAAATTTATTTTGACGATGATGCATTTCTAACATTAATCCTAAAACTTTCAATGGTGATTTCGCTGATCAAGATTAATGTACAATTTTGTCCTTGCTTTTACCACGTCTACAAGATATATTTCATTATATATACATACAGGAAAAGCTATCAAGTATTATTGACTTACCAAAAATGGGATCTGCTCCTCAGTGGCGATCATTTTTAAGAAATAATTGCACCAGACGATTACTTAGAAGTCATGGAATAATTTAAACTTACTAGCAAGAGTTTAAAACTTCACTATTTTGTAATATTCCATATATAATTTTCAAAATTTGCCGCCCGTTATAAATTTCTCTTTATTTCATTGGTCGAAGATATTTTCACGTGATATTTTGCAACAATTTTCTTAAATTTTATTGGCTAAAACTCCTAGTCCATTCGTATCACAATGATTTTCTTGAATTTTATTGGCTAAAATTTGTACACGTGATAAATTTGAAAATTTGCCGCACCCTTAGCTTTTGCTGTTCACTGTACGCGTAATTTTGTCCGTGTAACGCATTTTTTATAGATAAAAAAGAATACTATATTAATATACAAATAACCTTACTTTGGAAAAAAAGGAGCACCTCTAATCAGTATTTGATGATGATTTAATGAAATGTATAGTAATAGCATTATTGAAAATTTTAAAAGGAATTAATTTATTATCTTGTGTAATAAAAAATTTGTGATACAAATTAAAAAATCACGCCCACTATTTTCAACGAATAGATAGTTGAATAAACTCTCACCAAAAGTCATTCTTATCGGTTTATCAATCTGCATTAACATTGATTAAAAAATATGGTAAAAGATACAAAGATTTATATTTCTTATAATCAAGTTCATCAATTAATAAAGGATGCAGTGGAACGTTTTCATATAAGCGATGTATTTAAACCAGATCTTATGATTGCAATTGGCGGTGGAGGATTCATACCTGCTCGAATTCTGGTAAATATTGGTTTCAAAGCCTTCTTTTTCTTGAACACTTATATACTATGATATAATAGCCCTACATAAAAACTTTTGAATGCAAGCCCTGAACAATGTTAATAGATGTTATTTTAAATGATTAAAATAATTAATGAGCTAAAAAGTTATATATTATAAAAAGATAAAAATTTTTATGTTAATTTTCAAACATTTTCATTAATAATAACAAAATAAATCAATTTCTAAAGCGAACCTTCTTAAAACAACAAAACAACAAAAATATGCCAATTCAAGCAATCGGTTTATCTCTATATGAAGATATTGATATTGACCCAAGCCTTATAAATAATCAATCGTCATCTTCTACTTCTCCGGATGCGTTATCAACAATTGGCACTCAAGTAATAAAAACTCAATGGCTTCATTTTGGCGACTCATCGCCATCATTAGCGTCAACAACATCGTCAAAATTAACAAATAAACGTAATTTACTTGGAAAAAATATTCTTATAGTTGATGAAGTTGATGACACTAGGACAACTTTAGCATATGCGATACAAGAATTGTTAAAAGATATTGAAGAGGAAAAACTTGGATATATTCAAACAATTAATAATAAAGATAACGATTCAAAAATACCTGAAACAAAACTTGCAGTTTTTGTTCTTCATAACAAAATAAAAGAAAAAAAGATAGAATTGCCAGATCCTACAATTTTAAGTGAGAATCGTTATTTCGCTGCAAAAGAAACACCTGATCGTTGGTTGGTTTATCCTTGGGAAGTTGTTGATATTGAAGAACATACAAGGAAAAGTTTGGAACAAGAAGATGAAGATTATTAAGATTGTTTATAAAAATATGTAATCATCATAAATAGATTTACATTGATATTGAAAACCAAAAAATAAAAAGAGGAGTGAGGGCAGAAAATGATTTAAAGAAAATAATAATAATTATAATAAAAAATTTTTTTTTCTTATACATGTATGCATTTACTCATACATATATATATTTATGCAAATATATATTTATAAATATACATATGAAATGTCATTAAAAGTATGCACAAGCATTAACAACAATTATTTGATTAATTTTTGCATATTAGATTTTTTTTTTCATTAACAATAAAAATTTGTATAATATTATATTTTATATATATAATTAATATATATATATATATTATATATTTTATCTTTTTAATAAATTATAAGAAAAAATATATATATATGATATGATGTGATATGATATATATATATATATAAAAGACTTCTATATGTACACAAAAATTGATTTTTTTTTGTTTTTCCTTTTTAATATTAAAAGAGCAATATATATATAATATGTGATATACGTAATGATGATGATTAATAAAAAATTTTTAATAATTATTATAAATAAATGCTAATAGAACAAAGAACTATACAATTCTATAAAATTTGGTTGATAATAATGATATTAAAGTATCATCTAAATTCCAACGTTTGTTAAACTATGATCTAATAAAAACATGTCTAAATCTTTCCAACCTCCGCCAACGCGAACCATAACTTTATTTCGACCACTTGCAAAATTCACCAATTTACAAAGATGCACTTTTCTATCACGTCCAAGAGTCTCATTACCAAAATAATATTTTCCTCCGCCAGTTGATACTCTTTCCACCTTAACAGTTAATGGTGATGAGTTCACCACCTTTGCCACCTCAACATCCAATGGGTCACTTTTTAATGGTATGTATTTTGAAGGTACTTCTGTAGAAAACATGGACATTTTCGATAAAATATCCGTTAATGGAGTCATTGCTCTACTACCACCACCATTATTATGGTGATAATCATCATAAATTTCTGGTGTTATTGGTCTTGAAGTGCTACTTGTCACTGATGATGGCGTTGGCGACCGTATTGGGTTACGCCTTGATGTTGGAGTGATTGGTGGCAATGGAGGTGAAACCATCCCTAGACGAGACATTGTCGATGTCATTCCTGGTTGAGGCGTGCTAGCTTTTGGTAATATAGATCTCATACCAGTTCTTGATTGTGATCTGTGATCTAAACCCATGCTTGTAACAGGACGTGGTATTGCTGATGCATAAGAACGGTCTGGTGTTACTGGTCTGGTAGAATTTGGACGCATTGGTGGTGGTGATTCTGACCTGTGAGATGATTTTGATCTACCGTTCCTTGGTTGAGGTGATAATGCACGATGATAGTTATTTCCATGATAATTATTGCCACCACCACCATGGTAATTATTATTATTACCGTGATGACTAATGTTACCATAACCTTGATTATGATGATGATCATAATGATCATAATAATTATGATTGTATTGTTGTTGTTGTTGGTGATGATATTGCTGCTGCTGTTGATGTTGATTATGAGAATTCCATTGTCTGTCTGATGACATATTTGATGGTGGACTGACAGGCCTATGACCATTTGGAGTAAGATATGAATGACTGGCTATTGATGGACTAGTTGTGGGAGGTGATAAAGAACGATCATATTCTGAAGGGGATATGACTGTTCTATAAGGGGATACAGGCCGATAATTTCTTGATGGTGAGTTCGGTAATAGTTCAGGTGAAAACCTGGAGGACCTAACTGTTGGCCTCATGTTAGGAGAAATTGGCGGTGATGAAGCTATCGAAGAGGGTATTGAGGAAGGGGGGGAGGTACTTGAGGTCAATGAAGCATCTAACATATATTCTAGAGTGGGCATGTCTCGCTGAACATCTGCAACACCATCAAGTATATTATCCCATCTTTCTTTCATCGCATTGTATTTATCAATCGATTCTGGATCTTGTGTCATTTGATTATTAATACCATTAGCAAGCATGGTTAAAAGTTTCGTAACAGCTGGCACATAATATTTTCGTTTAGCATCAAAATTTTTATAAAGCCTTTGATAATTTTTAGGATTTATTGCTACTTGTGGTTGTATATTATTTTGTTGTTGAAGATGATGAAGAGAATCACTTGAATAAGATCTTTGATTATTATTTCGTTGTGGATATCTTGGAGAATCTGATCTGTTAATGGCTCTGTACATAAAATCTTTACATTGTTTAACAGATCTTTCAAGTGAATCCATCATTTGATTAGCATTACCCGCAACTTGTTTAAAAAGACCTGACCATTTATCCTCCTTCAACTCTTCTCTTATTGATGTCATTTCATTTTTCAAAGACTCCCATTTTTTATTCAGCGTATTAAATTTTTTTTCCAATATACCATTAGGATCTGAAGGAGCATTATGGCCGGTTAGACGGGATTTTAAGTAATCAACACGTGCAGATAAAGGTTCCAACTTCGAATCCAATTTGATTAGAGCAGCATCAACACTTTCATTATTATTGTTATTATTACCATTATTGTTATTTATTATACCAGTTGGAGTAAGAGGAGTCATTGATCTATTATTCCTTAAGGAAGGACTTGAACTTAGTCTGGGAAAAGGGAATAAATCGCTATTATTGTTATTATCACCAAAACCACCACTATGTCTTTGTTCCTGGAATTCAAATATATTTGTATTTAATTCTTCTATGGATGTTAAAATTTGATCCATTTTATCTAAAAGTTCACGTCTTTGTTTTGACACTGATATTTCTTTTTTTATTTTTGCAAAAAAAGTTTTCACTTCTAACCAATCTGAATTTATTCTATCGAAAGTAGCTTTAATATCCTTATAATTTTGATCGTCATCACTGTTTAGTTTTGATAAAGTTGATTGTAAAAGTTCTTGTAATAAGTCAATATTAGAAGCATATTGAAGTATTAGTAAGTCCATTTCATTGACATTTTTCACATTAATACCTTCCTTTATATCAAAGTCTAATGCAAGTATAGTAACATTAGCATATTCCAACCAGTTGTCAATTTTTTTAGCAGAATTCTGAAAAACTTCTAAAAGATTAGGTATGGGTAAATCGGTTGATAGGGCATGATAAATAGCTGTTTTTGGAGGTTCTATTTTTTGAAGTGTTTGCACGTGTTGAGCAAAGGTTTTATTTTCAATTGCTAATGTATTAAGCGTTGACAAGGTAGTGGTGGTAGTGGTGGTGATAGGAGTAGTGGTTGCAGGCAATGGTGTAATATTAGGGGTTATAGGAAGAGGATTTGTTGGTTCTGTTATTGGAGTAGTTGATGTTAAGGGTGTTATTTGAGTTGTGGTTATTGGTGGTGTCGTTGATGCAATTGTTGACATTGTAGAGGTTAATGTGGTCGTGTAATTATTGTTATCTGTATTATTATTATTTATAGTTGCAGTGGTTGCTCCAATAGAACCGAAAGGCATAAAGTTTTTAAAAGTTGATAATATTGGTTCTACCATTTTTTTTTTGAAAATTTTAACTAAATAAATAAGTTGTTACTATTAAATGTTACTATATATGTATGTATATTTTATATATATTATTTTTTTTTTTTATGTAACTTTTTATATTTCAAGGAATTTTATTTTGAAAAAAATGAATTTTTTATGGAAATTTTTTTTTGTACTACACCAAAACATTTGTACAAGCTCATATAAATAGTGTAACACTGCTAGTTAATTTAGCAAATAGACATTTAATCCTAAATTATAGAAGGTTTTTTGGTTATACTTGTTATATAAATTTTGTTTAAACTTTATTTTTGTTTAGATTCAATTTATGAGAATCTTGATGATTTCACATTCACCCTAAAATATCGTGAAAGAATGAATCTTTTGATCTGGACTTTGAAAACATATTGACAGATGATAAAGATATATTGGCGAAGAATCAATGAATGAATGTGATTGATTATAATAAATATAATACTATATTCTTTTTTTTACATATATCTGCATATATTTACATAGTAACCTCTCCCTATCGACCATCCAATCATCCCATGACTTATAAATATTAAAAATTGATTTTAATTTTTTTGGAAATGATTTGCTTTAATTCCCTCTCTTAAAAATTTAATTCTCTTTTTTTATATTATTTTATGATTATAATTGGAAAAGATTAAAACTTTTTATTTTTTAAGTTTGGTTAACATGAAAAAAATCTATCCCTCAAGTAGCAATTTTTGATACATCGCCCATTCACGTGATCATTTAATCCTAACTAATTTGGTTGCATAAACAATTTATTTGTGCACAATATATTTTAGGGATATGTATCGTCTTACTTCAACTTTTTATTTGGATGTATGTTTGCGCACACGAAAATCAAATTTGTGGCTTAGTGTACGGATTCAGTTAGACCAAGTTTATAATAAATAATTTTTTTCTCCTTTTCAATCAATTATAATACATGGCAACTTTTTATACACTCCATTCACAATAAAAAAGGTATTTATAATAATCATAATAAATGAATAAATTTGTTATTTGCAAAGTAAACTTCGGAAATAAGGAGAAAAAGTAATGAAGGATCCAAACAGGTAGCATCTAGTACATAAAGGCGAAAAAAATAAAGAAACAAGAATTAAATAAAAAAGTACGTAAAGAAGTTTGTTACGAATTTGAATAAAGTGAGAGAATGGTAGTGGAAGGGTGATAATGTTTTGCAGTTGGTGTAAAAGTGTAAAAAAAAAAAAATTTTTTTAATTTTTTTGTTTTACATAATAAATAAATTATATGTACTGCACAATTAGTTCACTAATACTAATAATATGTCAGCACACTTTGATACGATGACAATGTGCTAGTACCGCATAATTTTTGAGTAGACATTGATGTGATTCTGATTCGTTCGAGTATCAAAACTTCCCATCATATATATAACACAAAATTAATTTGGGAAAATTCTCATATCCAAAAAAAAAATATATATATATAAATTTAATTACATTAAAAACCTTTACGCACGCACACCCACTATATCTAATCTTTAGCACATTTCTTCACTAAAACAACAATATACATGTATAATCTCATTATGCCCAGGAACGGATCAAGAAATTTTATAACAGAAGAAAAACCTTCTTCATACAATGATACTTTAGACCAATCAGCTTTACCAAACCTAAATTCAAATTGGGTAAATTATAAAGGTGCCTGGATTATTCACATTATTATAATTTTTTGTATTAAAATAGTTTTCAGTTCAATTCCTAAAGTTTCACCTGAAGCAAGTTGGACCTTTACAAATTTATCTTATATGTTTGTAAGTTTGTTTAATATTCTTTTCTATAATATTATATATATATATATACATACACGTACATATAACCATGCTATATTTATTTATAATAATATGTTTGTGATAAAATATTAGGGAAGTTTTATAATGTTTCATTGGGTAAAAGGGGTCCCGTTTGATTTTAATTCTGGTGCTTATGATGGATTAACTTTATGGGAACAGATTGATAATGGAGCACAGTATACACCAGCAAAAAAATATTTAACAGCTGTTCCTATCGTATTGTGCGTAAAAGAAAATCTGTTATATTTTACTTTCTTTTTATGTTCAAAAATAATGATATTAACATACTCTTTTTTTTTTAAATCATGATTATTAGATTCTTACTTAGTACACATTATACGCATTATGATGTTTTTACGTTTCTAATAAATTTTACATTTTTATTAGTAGTGCTTATTGCTAAATTACCACAATTACATAAAGTTCGTTTGTTTGGAATTAATAAAGCTTGAAAACAGAAAAATGATCATTTTATCATAATCACAGACACACACATACACATATATATGATATATTATATATATATAAGGAATGATTGAACTAATTTCAGAATAGTGACATTTCAATTTATTACAATAATTGATTAAGACGGAATGATCTAATGAATGAATATATATAATATTTCTGCTAAATATATATAGTAATAACAATGAGAAGGAAGGAGGATGGTTGTTTTTTTATGAATTTAAGAGGAAGAACAATAAATAACAATTGTTATTATTATATTGTACATAATATATATATATACTATTTAATAAAAAAAAAAAGAAAACCAATTTCTTTTGTAGAATAGATTAATATTAATATTAAACAGATTTTTTATTTTCATTAGATCGATTTGCTAAAATCATTTCGTATTCATCTATTTTATTAGTTAATCCAAGATATTCAGCGTTTCGTTGATCCAATAATTTTTTCAATTTTTCATTTTCTTTTTTCAAGTCTTTTTCATTTTTCAAGTTTGTTCCTCCCTTAAATACGTTTTATATTAATTAGATAGAGATGTATAAATGTAAATGTAAGATATAGGCTGTTTTCAAGCAAAATACCTCTTTTTTGATTGTATTTAATTCATCTTCAGTTTTCAAAAGATCTAAAACTAAAGTGTGTGTTCTATTCAAAATTCTTTTGATTTCAGAAAATAAAAAAATATTAGTCAAAAACCAATATACAGTATCGTTAATAATATTTAATTAATATATAATCTTTACAATGTTAAGAAGAGTGTAAATCCAGTGAGATACCTATTAAAATGAAAATATTAAAGAATTAATATTAATGTATATCAATTATATGTACACCACAATAACTTACATATTACGCTGATTGTAGAATCTTTTTGCTGCATGAGAAGCTTCAGTCATTGCATCAGCAAGGGAGTTGTCATTGCTTTCTTGTGGACCATAAACACGATTACAGGCATCTTATAAAAATAAAATTTTTTTATATTAAAAATAAAAATAAAAATAAAAATAAAAATTATAACTGATCTATCGTCATAATCATATTACCTAAGAATAATAGTCCAATAAAACTAAAAGAGACAAAAAAATGGTTTTTTGTTCGATCACTAATTCGTATTTATATATTATATAGAAAATAGAAAATAGAAAGAAAATCTTACGCAAATATAAATTTAAGGGTCCATTTTGTTTGTGCTACCTAGAAAAGAAAACGAAAATTTGGATTATTATTTTTTTTTTGCAGGAAAATAAAATATAATGAACTCACCAAATTTGATTCTTTTATCCAAGTCAATGTTTTACGTCTCCATTTACGAGGAAAAGGTAACTTTTAGATAAAAATAAAAAACAAATCATAAATAATCAACTTTTTTACAAGTCAAAAAAAAATAGAATATATTATTTACTTACAATTAATACTAGAAAAGATAATGTCTAAATGTGTATTATTATATATTTCTTTTTTGGTAATAATAACCATAAAAATAAACCATATAAAATCAAATATATATATATACCTCAAGAATGAGTAAAACGAAAACTAAAACGTAATACAATGTCATTATACAAGTAAATATAATGGAATTTGTTTTTTTTTTGAAAGTTCGATTTAAAATATCTTGGCCTTATATATAAATGATCAAGATTCAAGATCACGTGAATATTCCTACAATAATTTCGTCATTTTTTATTTTGTCATGACATCATACTAATACGTATAATAGTATAATTTATAATAAATTTCAATATCATAATAAAACGGTTAGTCAGTTTTATCATATCAGTGCTTTAGAATAGATCTTCAGGTAGCCAAAATATTTAACATTAAAATTGAATTTTCTGTGATTAGAGAAACTTATTTCTTCTACAATTTACAATCAAATATATATTTAGACAAATTTGATAATGTATTCTTTTTTTCTTGCCAATATATTTCTAAACCAAAATCATCAAAAATCTCTCTAAATGAGATTACAAAGTTTAGGAATAAACCAAGACTACACCTGCTAACTGAAGATTATTCTTTTTATGAGTTTTTGCTTTCTAAATGGTCATCAATTCAACTTTTCCTGTCAATATTAATTACATGACTACAAAAATGACATATAATTGACATAAAAATCTTGGGATATTTACATAAATATTAATCATTTTTTAAATTCAAAGTTAAGTTTCATTTTGGCAATTTAAATTAGTCGCATGATTTCCCTATCCTCAATTTTTGGGAATGATGGATGACAATAAAATAACAGGTTAGGATACTATTTATTAGCGAATAGCTTTGATTAAATTCAAGCTGAAATTTATTATTATTTCCTTTTATAAAGCTATTCTTCAAACTTCAAGTTGTTTATATATACACTTTTTAATTGGAGGGTTGCTTTATCAACTTTGGCGATATTGTCAACTAAGTCTACTATTGTACCTCGTCGATTTTGACAACTTAGTCGACCCTATTACTACGTAAAGTAACCAATGCAAATTAAATAATGCGTGTATCGAAATACGAACATTTGCACTATCAAGGGTTTCAAGGATCAAATTTAGCCATCATTAATGTAATGATTATGATTATGATTTAATAATTTTATAATGCCCTGTTTACTCTTTTCTTAAGTGGTATATTGAATTACCCCTATATAAAAATAATTAATATTTTTATTTTAATTCTAATTATTATCTTATAATTAAGGGTATTCACCAATTGAAAGGTTTTTTTTATACACATTTAAAAGGATAAGAGATTAACAATTTACTTGTTTGGCAATTATTAAATCAATTATTGATTAATTACAATTAAGTCAATGACAATTTATAGCGAGTAATTTATTAAGGATTGTTGTTTGTTATATTTATTTAACAAAAATATTTAAATAGATTTTTTTTCAAAATAATATAAGTTTCTAACATATTTGAATATGACGATACTTTTGACTTTAGTCATTGACACAACTAAAGTATTGACTAAAAGTGGTTTCTCACCAGGGCTATTTGACGATTTGACTAAAGTAAAAGCCTTTGACGTAATTAAAACCACTTGACGTAATTAAAACATTTGACGCAAGTAAGACCACTTGGTACAATCAACAATAATGATAAAAATAAGATTATCAAAAAGTTCCAAACTATGTAAAATGTGTCAATAATGTAACCATTATATCCAAAAAAACCCATCATTTTCTTCATTAAAAAACAACAAGTCAAGTTTTATATTTTATATTTTATATAATGTCATATAATGATCTATTATCAACCGAAAGAAAGGAAGTTGTAGTTAAAATTAATCATGAAATGCGTGTTGATGCTAGTGTTAATTCTGATAAAGAAAGTAGAAAAGAGTATTATTTTTCACTGGTCAATAAAAAACAAGAAGCTTTCTGAAAATGAAAAAGAATACTGTAAGGAACATTTTATTTATGAGTTTGAATTAAATGCAAAAGATAAAAAGGGAAAACCAAAAGAATGTAACAAGTGTAAATTGGCTTCAACAAAACATAATAATAATAAAAACTCGCAAAAAAAAAAAGTTCAAAATTTCCTTATTAAGAAAGATAAGCTGGTTATCCAAGACTGGTCCCTAAAATTTTTAACCAAAATCACGTGAAGGCCTTTTTTGAAAAGTTTTATTGCATTTTTTGAACGAATCATGAAATCGCAATTTTTGAAATTTAGGACCGTGGTTCAAAGGGACCAGTTCAAAGACCGGTCTTTTAAAGACCAACACAACTCTAATTAGGACTATCTAGACAGAAAGTCATAGGATAGTGGAATCAACTGTAAGTCAGTGAGCAGGCTGTGTGTTGAATGTAAAAATAGCCTATAAAATAGGAAACTCAGATTGCATGTTCACAGTATAAATAATCTTTGGATTTGACCTAGTTAAATCTTCATCTTCATCATCCTGATAATACAATAATAATATTTCAACAAAAATATGAAAAATTGATTTTAGAACCAGATGAATTTAATAGAATTCTAGAAGAATCCGAATCAGCATTAAAAGGTTTCTTTAATCAACTTTATGCTGGAATAAATCCAAGGGATAAAGGTAATATGACTAACGAAAAAAACAAGAAAAGATTGGTTTATTTTGTTATTTTTTGGCAGGTTTAAACAATAAATTCATAAATGGAATTAAAGCTGAAATTGGATATATGTTGGATAGTGCAGGAACATCATCCTCAGCAATTGGAACATTTGCAAGTGCAGGTATAAGTGTTAGGCGTGAGACAGTAATGAGGCATAAAAAAAAACAAGAAAATGCTCATGATGATACAGTTAGTTCCTTTGTGCTAAAACATGTAAGAATATTGTATATGAACTTTCAATTTAGTTGTGGATCATATTTGTATATTAATTTTATTTAATATAGATGGATGATTTTATGATGATTAATCTTGATGATTACCATAACATCCATACTACTAAATGATGTGGCGATACAACAACAACTTCAGATGTTCTCCATTTTCAAACCATCTTACTAAAAGCAGTTCCAGATTTACCAGCAGTTCCGTTTGATAACCCACATAATGGCAAGAATATCCAACTTCTATCTTCTCTTTGTTGTTGTATCCTATCATCATAATTATGCACCAACAACATTTCTACATGTTCTTCATGGTTTCTTGCCTCAGGTAATTCTTTAGCAAAGACAAGCCTACGTTCATTATATGTTAACCAAAGATGAGGAAAAAACAATACCTGGAAATTTTCCATGATGAGCTCTGCATCATTCCTTTTGGATTATTATGAATAACACTAAGCTTGTAAATTTGGTTGAAGGAAGTTTACATTCTAAAAAAGATTATATAAAAGCTTTAGAAAATTTATTTAATGTTCCAGAGTTGAAAACATATCCTGAAAGCTATGTACTTGCAGGATCATTTGATTGCCCTGGACAGATCCATGGAAGGCATGCTGTTTCAGCTTCTTTTGATTTGACAAATATTCATCAACTCTCACCTCTCCAACAACATATTGTCCCAATGATTGGACCTTTACATGTCTCATTAAACAGTCATGAAACAGTTTTCAAATTGAACTATTCTTTTTTCAACAAATTGAATTGTTTTCTTTACCTAAAAAGAGACTACTTGCAAATAAACCAAGGCCATACAAAATAAATGTATTGCTTGAATTGACTGCTTCTGGATGGAATCTAATCAGAGAAGAAGTATTGATTAAATTTTGTAACTGCAAGGATCCCGAGGAAAGGTATTTACTAGACCTTTTAGATAATATTATACCATTGGTTCTGGATTTTTATCCAGTTATATTTCGAAGTGGAAGTGGTCTGCATACAGGGAAGCAATGTATTGGTATTGGTTGTAAAAATTATAACAAAGTGCCATTGGCATTTTTTAGTGATGTATTTTATTGGTTTACTACACATCATCCAATGGTACATACCATTTAACAAAATATTCACTTATTTAATGACTATTATGTTGAGAATTTCCATTCTTCATTACGCCTTCAAACAAATGCATCAAATTCAGCTGAACAAATTATATGACAAGCCAAAATCATTGATCAATCACATGGTTCTAATATATTTAAGGAAAAATTTTCAGATTCCCATAATATTACATATAATGAAAAAGAATTAGAATTTATGAAAAAAAGAGTAGCAGTATATCTATTGGAACTTTTCACAGATGTATATTAATATAGCAATATCAGAAAAAATACTATTGATACTATAGGATGTTGGCCAAAATGGATTTTGAAAAAACAATTTTGGCAAGCAATTTTGGATTTACAATATTCTTTATATCTATAGGCATAAAATACTACCCAGAATTTCGGCTATTTAGTTAAAGTGTTCAAATAATTTCAGATATAATTTCAGCAACTAATAAGATTAATTTTGGCATCTATGAAAAACTATTTTGGCATTTTGGATTAGGCAACAATCATTTATTAAGAGAGCCAATTTTGGCAAACATGCTTAATTGATACATCAGGTAAGTATAAAAAACCTAAATATAAAATTCCATACAAGCTTCCAACATTAGATACTGTTGTTGATGTTAGAATGCTCCCATTAGCTTGGAATAGTTCTTCCCCTCCAAAAACCGATAAATATTGTGATTTGGATGAATGTGAGCTATCTCATGTTTATGGTTGTACTTAGCATGTGGACATTCATATCATTATGAATGTTTTTTATTGAATCTTTCAAGCCAATGTCACTATTGTAATGATTTACTAAAAAAAGGGATTGAAAATAGTAATAATTTTCAAAATAGTGTCAGCTCTTTTGATGATTTGGACTTGGAAGAAAATGAAGAAGATAACATAATTGAAACAAGTGACGATGAAAGTATTTCTTTAGACTCTAATATAGATTCAATTTTAAATAATCATTTACTATCATTCAAAATTTTAGGAACTATATATGTTATTTTTTTAAATGTATTTTTATCATTTTTTTATATTGTTAAATAAAAATTTATTCGGTAATGATCGTCATTTTCACAAAATAAAACCATGCTATTGTTATCAGAATTAGGATTTAATGCTAATTTGTTAGTCGAAATACCCTAATTCCGAACCAAATCTTTTATTTCTATTTTTATT